CTGGGGAGGGCCCACCCGAGACCCAGCTGAGGTGTGTGCCCCTGGATCGAGGTCTCCTGGAGGAGTGGCCGGTTCCAGGGTGCCCGGGGGGGGAGCTGAGCCACGTCCCTGTACCCATCGCACACCCCACCGCATCATTTGAGACTCACGACCAGCCTCAGAGGTCGGTGGGACGAGGACCCAGGCCCCTGGCCTCAGGCCTGGGCCTTTTGGCCCTGCAGCTGCAGACAAGGGCGAGATCCCAGGCTTGGTGTGGCCGGGTGGTGGGACCCAGGCTTAGCGCCAGCTCTGCTCACCCCACGGCACAGGTCCTAGACGTGCGGGAGAACCCCAACCTCGTCATGCCTCCCAAGCCCACTGACCGCGCTGCGGAGTGGTACAACATCGACTTCTCACTGCAGAACCAGCTGCGGCTGGCGGGGGCCTCTCCTGCCACAGTGGCTGCAGCAGCAGCTGGTAAGTAGGGGAAAGTCTGGCCTGGGAGACTTTGGCCCCCACTTACCCATCTTAGGTGGGCTGCTGTTCTTTACACCCTAGGGGATGGGGCCAGCCCCTGCTTGGCTGGATGCCCAAGGGGGTGGGCCCAGCCAGAGCTCACCCGTTTGCCCCTCCCCTAAGCAGGGAGTGGGCCCAAGGACCCCCTGGCCCGCAAGATGCGCCTTCGGAGGCGCAAGGACTCAGCCCAGGACGATCAGGCCAAGCAGGTGCTGAAGGGCATGTCCGACGTGGCCCAGGAGAAGAACAAAAAGCAGGAGGTGAGTTGACTCGGCGGGGGCAGGGCAGGTAGCCCTGGACGCTGCTCAGGGCAGACTGTGTGACCTGGGCCAAGAGGCCGGGGGCCCTGGGCAGAGGAGACAGCCATGCAAAGGCCCTGAGGTGGGTAGCAAGCACAGAGACGGGCCTGAGTGGCTTCGTGGAGTGAAGGCATGCTCTGTGATTGTAACTCCAGGAGGGTGTGGATGTGGGGACCCCTGGAGGAAAGGCGCGGCGCTGGGACCAGGGCCTGGAGAAGCCGCGCCTGGACTATTCTGAGTTCTTCGCCGAGGACGTGGGCCAGTTGCCCGGCCTGACCATCTGGCAGATCGAGAACTTCGTGCCTGTGCTGGTGGAGGAAGCCCTCCACAGCAAGTTCTACGAGGCTGACTGCTACATTGTGCTCAAGGTGAGGGCTGGGCACACCATGCCGAGCCACGTGGCCCTGTGCCCTCGTCTTAGCTGGCTCAGAGTTCCCAGCTGCATCGTCTTGTTCAATGAGGCCAGGGGGAGGTGGGCAGGCAGCTGAGGCGGTCCAAGCTAGGGTGGCTGGGAAGCCATTGCTGGCTAGAGCTGCCTCTCGGGCAGCTGAAAGTCGGGACGGGAAAGCCGGGCTCGGTGGCTCAGCCTGTAATCCCGCGCCTTTGGGAGGCTGAGGTGAG